CCATTTGAGGATGTTGAGTTCAACATCTTCCTGTCCAGCCAGCTGGGGTGGAATTTACAGCACCTCAGCTTCTCACTGGTGGCTGCTATGACACACCCCAGCATCCTGAGGTATCTCCCTCTGGGCTAATCTGTTCCTTAATGGATTTACTGAAAGGTAAGAGCTGTCACACAACACGATACCCACAGATCTTTAAGTTCATGGTTTGAGTTTTACCTGTGAGTTTTACCTTTGCCTGCACCCCAGGTATGTCCCAGCTGATTATAGCAGGTGAGGGATTAAGGATACTGCATCTCCCTGGCTGTGGACACAGTTCCATGAGTAGAGAAGTCTTAAAACAGTGCAGCTCATTTACATAACTAGAAAGGGAACAAATGACAGTCGTTGTCTGCATAAATAGCTGTTCCCTCCCACTCTCTACCTCCACCAGATCTTGTCCTCAGGAACCAGGAGATGCCTCTTTCTGACTGTTAGAAATCTTCTAGTTGGTGGGAAGTGACTGAGGGATATTCAGACCAGAGGGTCGCATCTGTCATCAGAAATCTGAGGTATTTCTCAGCCTCACGCTGTAGCTGCAGCACAGGAGAACTTTCTTTTCTTCTGGGTCTCCTTTGGATGCCCAGCACAGTTGTCATCACACCAGAGCATCTTCAGGTCAATAAGGTGATTCAGGTGGGATTTTAGGGTGAGTGGGAGGCTGTGGCACCAACTGGGGTTAGTTCCTGTCCTGGCAGAACAGAACAAGCCAAGTCTTGTCAAACCTGATAGTGAAAGAGGGATTCATCTCATTAAACTTTAGAGGTCTACTCTGTGGGTGTTGACAAGCTGGGCTGGTGTTCCCAGTGTGTCTGACATCAGTGGAAACAGGCACATTTGGGACATGGTTCCTCTGAGCTGCTTTCAATATCTCCATGGGCTGAGATTCCTCATATTCCAGTATCTACACAGATAAAATTTGACCTTAATATGAAGGGAGAGATGGTTGACCAACTCAGACCCAGTTGTCCAGCTAACTAAATCACACCTAGGGTGTCCAAATAAAAGGACAAGGACTTTCTAATAAAATACCTTCAACCCAATCTCAGCAAACATTCCCACAAGCAGCCTACCCCTGTGTAGGATGACAGATGGATGGCTGTCGAGGTCATTAGTAGTAACTCATTCTTTGCTCTCAGAAGCCTTCTCCTGCCCCTACCAGTCTCTCATGCTGGCCAAGAGAATGGTTATCATGCTTTGCACATGCTTAAATAATGAAGACCTATTTAATAGACTGCTCAGGAGGATAAACAGTAAAGCACCATTTGCCTGTGAATGGCTTAGTTGCTTCCTCCTAAAGAAAATGGTCTTCAGAGAACAAAGTTCTTAGATAGACTCTCCTCACTACTTCAGTGAGAAACCTGACACCAATATCAGCTGAGACCATCTCAGGCAGTCCAACTGCTGCTGGATATGGGCCACTAGATGATTCTCTTGGCCTGCTGCCCTTCTCCTGGGAAAGATAGGGAGCAGATGTTGGAGCAGCACACAAAAACTGAACAGCTGGGAGTCTTCTTTCATGCTTAGCAACCCAAGGCAACATTTCACTGTGGGCCTTCTGATTTTTGAGGTAGGACTGCCATAAATTCTGTAAGTTTTGAGGGAACACAGCTAAGGTTTTGATTTGTTTTCTGTGGGTTTTTTTTTTTTGGAATGGGGAAAGACCTTCAAGTTAAGAGTGAATATAGATTTTATTTTATTTTATGGGAAGAACAAACATTTTGCTGTGGAGGGTTTTTTTGTCCTGCATCATCTAATGTCCTTCATTGTCTGGTGCACCCTCAGTAAGTTTGCTGACAGAACCAAGCTGTGATGTGTCTGACATGCTGGAGGGAAGGAATGCCATTCAGAGGGACCTGGACATGCTTGAGAGATGGGGTGTGCCAACCTCAGGAAGCTCAACAACTCCAAGTGCAAGGTGCTGCAGCTGGGTTGGGGCAATCCCAAGAGCAAACACAGGCTGGGCAGAGAAGGGGTTGAGAGAAGCCCTGAGGAGAAGGACTTGGGGGTGTTGGTGGATGAGAGGCTGGACATGACCTGGCAATGTGTGCTCACAGCCCAGAAAGCCAAACCTGTCCTGGGCTGCATTTGAAGAAATGTGGGCAGCAGGATGAGGGAGGGGGTTCTGCCCCTCCACTCTGTTCTTGAGAGACCCCACCTGCAGTGCTGAGTTCAGCTCTGGGGCCTCCAAAATAGGAAGGGTATGGAGCTGCTGGAGCAAGTCCAGAGGAGACCATGAAAATGCTCCAAGGGCTGGAGCCCCTCTGCTCTGGAACCAGGCTGAGAGAGCTGGGGGGATTCACCTGCAGAAGAGAAGGCTCCAGGGAGACCTGAGAGCCCCTTCCAGTGCCTAAAGGGGCTCCAAGAGAGCTGGAGAGGGACTTGGGACAAGGGGCTGGAGTGAAGGACAAGGGGGAATGGTTTCAAACTGGCAGAGGGCAGAGTTAGATTAGATATAAGGAGAAAATTCTTCCCTAAGAGAGTGGTGAGGGCCTGGCACAGGTTGCCCAGAGGAGTTGTGGATGCTCCATCCCTGGAAGTGTTCAAGGCCAGGTTGGATGAGGCTTTGAATAACTTGATCTAGTGGAAGGTGTCCGTGCCCATAACAGGGAGCTTGGAACCAGATGATCTTTAAGGTCCCTTCCAACTCAAACCATTCCATGATTCTGTGCTCTTTAATTTGCTTTCTTTTTTCCCCTCGTGTGCAGTGAAGTTACCAAGAGCTGTGAGACGTGACCAGAGGAGATGTCAGAACTGGAGAAAAAGACATCTTTGAAAAAGTCTAGTTGATTCTTTGCTCTGCTTCACGGTGCTGGATCAAACCCAGAGCTGAAGGCACTCCCAATGTGTCTGTGCCTGCCTTTCTCCAGGGAAGGCATCTGTGCAGCCGTGGGGCTGTTCCTGTGCCAAGGCAGCGGGAGCAGGGCTGGCTGTGCTCCTGTTGTGGAGCTGTGTCCCAACCAGGCTCCTGCACCAGGGCTGAGACCCACAGGGGCTACAGTGTACAAGTAAGCAACTCTGTCAGGGATTTTCACACTGGACAGGTAATGGACTTGGTTGTTTATAAAACCACGTTGCTTTTTTTGTTCTCCTTTTTTAAAATCTGGGGGCAGAGTAAAAGCAAGGTCGATTTGAAATTAATTTACGTGCTGAGGGAAATAGAAGGTGGGAGATGCAGAAAATTAAGTGGAAGGGGTAAAAACCTGGAGAAAAGGAGGCCTAGGGGAGACCTTTTCACAACAACTACCTGAAAGGGGGTTGTAGGTGAAGTTCAGCCTCTTCTCCCCAGCAGCTAGCCCCTGGACAAGAGGACATGGCCTCAAGCTCCATCAGAGGAGCTTCAGGTTGGACATCAGGAAGAATTTCCTCACTGAAAGGGTTGTCAAGCATTGGAAGGGGCTGCCCAGGGAGGTGGTGGAGTCACCTTCCCTGGAAGTGTTCAAGAAATGACTGGCCTCAATGCTGTGCTTTAGCTGACATGGTGATGTTTGGTCAAAGGTTGGACTTGATGATCTTGGAGGTCTTTTCCAACCTCAATGAGTTGGTGATTCTTTGGACAGGAAAGAGGAAAGGTACACAGGTATCATGAAATTTCAGGGTAATTAGAAGAACCTCATTAGCAGGCAGCTGCTCTTACAGCACAGGTCTCATGGGATTTGGGTGAGGATTTGGGCATTCAGCACCTCAAATTCTTTGCACGGATCTGTGTGGCTGAGAGCAGTGTGGCTGGCAGCAGTGTGGTACCAGTGTCTCCATGGGATGTGCTGTCAGAGGCTCCTCCAAGGCTGCTATAGATGCCCAGGCTCCTTTAGGGAACGTTTTCCAGGTCTGGAGAGCTTTCCCTTGAAGGCTGTTCTGCAGAAGGGAGTCAGTGACTGGATGCTTTTATGTATGTACCTTGCAGGGAACATGTGCCACCCTGCTGTTCTCCTAGTGCTAATCACAGGAGTCAGCTGGACAGCCCTTCCCTTCATCACCGACCATCTCAGCACTTTCCACAGCTCCACTCCACTGGTTTTCCAGTAACAGGTTCGACTCCTGCACTGGTGGTGCAGGGATGCTGTTGCTGTGCAGCTCTGAGGCAATGCAGGACAGTGCAGATGCTGCTGTTCCCGTGCAGTCCCTTCTCTTCCTGGGTGTGTGTCTGCTTTTCCAAGCTCAGAAGGCTCATCCTGGACACAGGCCACCTGCCCATCTGCAAATACCATCTGCAAAATGGTGCTTCCAGCTGAAACTCCTGCCCTGCTTCCCCTCAGTTTCCCTCAACTCCAGCTACTTTATCACTTTTCTTTGCAATCAACTCTCTGCAGCTCAGGGGGAAACTGGCTCTCCCTTCATCCTCCCTCCCACAGCCCCTCTCCCTCCCAGCAGCGATGCCATCCTCCCTCCCTCCCATCGCCGTCTGCTGCTGACCCTGGCACACTAATTAAATAAGAAATAAAAATCTCTGAGAAATGGGGCTGAGGTGACACGGAGAAGAACGATTTGGGGGAGATGGGAAGAGAGGAAAAAAATAGGGGAAAAGGGTTGATTTAAAAAACTTGATTTGAATAAATCCCTCCTCCTGCTCCTCCTCATTGGTTTCTTTTCCTCCTCCATATTAATGAGAGCAGCCAAGGAGAAGCTATTGGTTCCCTATCGCTTTCCCTTTCCTCAGGCACTCGGGGGAGGAGGTGTTTGCATTTCTCCGCAGGACCAGCTCGCTTTGCAGAGCATTGTCTGGGTATGAGAATCACACACAGGCACAGGGACAGGGGCGAGCGCACCGGAGCATCTCACTCGGGCAGAGCATCTCAGCCAGCCTGAGCACCCTTTCAGTCCCTTGCCCCTCCCTGAGCACCAACAGCCTCCCCTAAGAAAAGAGAAAAAAAAAAAAAAAAAGAGAGAAAAACCCCCAAAGTTTGCAAATATCCCGCCTCCCCCTTTGGTTTCTATTTTTTTTTTAATTTTTTTTTTTTTTTTTTTGGTTATGTGGTTGTTTGCCTTTTTTTAATATTTTAGCGATGGCAAATTCCTTCACGGCCAGGAGCTGGCCCATCCCCTGAGCAAAGGCAGCTCGGACATGACCGGCAGGCGAGGCAGGAGGAGGAATTTGGATTCCCTTCGGAGGCGCCGACCCCTCCTCCGGCCGGGGGGGAGCGCGGAGCCGGCGGGGCTGGACCGGCCGCTGTCCCCCCCGGCCCCGCCCCGCCCCGCACCACGGGGATGCGGCATCTCCAGCGCCGGGACGGATCCCTGCTGCAATGGTAAGTCCTCTCCTTCCTTCCCCGGCTCCCCCCTGCGCTGCCCCATCCCCAGACCCCGGGGACGCCAAAGCGGCAAAGCGAGAAGGACCCGCCGGCTCGTCTCGACATTGATTTACCGGCTCTTCGCTTCCCCAGGTCCTGGGAATACTTCTTTAGCACGCAGGCTTCCTGCCTCCGGCACAACTGTAGGCTCGGAGGATGCGTCCTCCAGATAGGTTTGGCTCTTCCCGAACAAATCAATCTCCCTTCGCGAGTGGTGACAGGTTAAGGCGCTCGGTATGGGAATCACGTCTGGTTTTAACACAATATGGCTGGTAAATAAAATGTGATTGCTAAACGGCCCCCGCTGCTGCTGGCGGCATTTCCGAGCCCCCGGCTCCCTTTGCTGTTCTGCATCTTCACCTGCCGCAGAAACTCTGATTCACCCTCCGAGCAGAGCACCGGGACATCCCCGCTTTTCCTGCGGGGTAGCAGGAGAGGTTGCGGTCAGTGTGCCTTTGACCTCTGCTTGCCTCCGGGCACTTCTCCTTATCAGGGTTTGAACAGCTGGTTCCGATAAGACCATCTTCATGCAAAGCACATCTCAAGTCGGGGGGTGGCTCACAGGACAGGCTCTTTTCCGATGTGCTCAGAATTTAGGACGTGAACCCTTCAGGTGTGTGTTGGAATCTGAGGAGTTTGCAGCCAGGAGGATTAAGATAATGAGATAATGCAGCATGTTGTTCAGAACTGGAAAATGCCTGGAAAAAAAGGGGGGATTTGGTTAGTGACATCCCGGTGCTTATCACCAGACAATCATCCCACTCACGTAGAAGCAGGTCTGGAAGAACTCCCTGGAAGTCAGTGGATTTCCTCTGCATCTGATCTGCAGGTAAACAGAATCTGGCCTTTAGCTTGAAGGATATATTGGAGTAGCACAGGAGGGAACTATAATAAGAAGGAAATATTAACTAAAGTGAAAAAGGCAGCAAAGTGACCTGATTCTTTCCCAGGGTATTATCAGTTACCATCCCTCTGGTGCCTGTTAATTACGGTGCAAGTGCTGGACTGATAAGACAACATGGAAGTGAAGGAGCTTTTGGGATATTTTTATTTAATCTGTTGGAGTCAACAAACAACAAAGAGGTTTTCCTTTGCTGTTCTTTGGGTGCACGGCCACCTCACTTCTCTGTTCAGCCTATGCAGCGCTGGTCAGGTACAGCAGGGAAACATTCCCGTGGCTGATCAAAGAGAATGTTTGGTTACTTGAGGCTAAGGACAGAAGGAAGGCAAACTCCTTAAAGTGCTGCTGGTGTAGCTGCAGAGAAGGAACGTGTTATACAAGCATCTGCCTTTGGCCAATGCAAAGCACGCTGGAGGTGGCTCGGAAGAAGTTGTCCTGTGGGGTGGGTAAAGCAATGCTGCTGCAATTTGGTGGATAATTAAGGAATACTGGACAGTGCAATAATGGGAGTTGGATTAAAGTTGTTATGTCTGCTTGTTGTCCTTGTTGTTACAGTTTTGGGTTGTGGTCTTGTACCTTTATCCCCTCCTGTCCCTCTGTGCTGCAGGCAGTGGTTGCTGCTTTGTTGTCATTCAAGACAGCTCCAGTTGATCTGTTATTGTCCAGGCAATAGCATCTGTTATTGTCCAGGCAGTTCATCTCATCCAGGAGTGGAAGGTTTCTGGTGGTTTTGTTTTCTCCAGTCGGAGGCATGTGCACATGACTGGAAGGATAACCATTGACACTGCACGGGCTCAAAGGTCAGGGGGGGCTTTCTGTGTGATAAATACACTTATTTCTCTTTAAACAGAGAATTAGCCTTGTGATGGCTAATTAGCCTTGCATGGCTTCATGGCTTTAGCCTTCCATCATTCCTTGGGGTCCCTGTGAGGAATTGGAGGGCTCTTTCCTCCCTGTAGGTTTAGGATGTCTGTTGTTTGCACGGTGGGGCCAAAGCCACACGGATCTGTCCAGATCTGCTGTCGGTGTGTTTGGGAAGCTCACAAACACCAAGGCAGGAGCTTTGCTGTGGGATGATACCAGGGAGAGCGAACCAGAGACTTCTGAGATTGTGGGCTGTGCTGTTGATCACACTCAGACCTTTGTGCATCACATCTCTCTTCATTTGGCTGACTGAGCTGGCATCCTGGAGATATTTTTTTCCGGGGTTGAGTTCCATATGTGCCTATGCCTTTGAGAAGTTGAGACCTGTGTCCCCAAGCTGATTCATTCCAATGTAGCAGATTTTGTTTTCCTTTCCTTCCTTTCTGAGCACACTTAGTACAAACAGTCTATTTCCTAAAATTATCTTTAAATGAAAGCAGAGTATTTGAGTGAAGAATCACTGAGAAAAAGCAAACTCAGGACAGGATTGTGTTCTAATGCATCTCTGGCAGAGAGATCTACAGAGATATCAGGTCTTTAACAGTTAGTTCTGATTTAACAGAGGGGTTATTCATTTGGCACTGTTTTCAGGAGAGTTAAACTGATGCAAGGACATAGAAGTCAGAGGAGATACTGGATTTTATTTCACCCCGTTCCTTGGCCCAGGGGGTGCAACCACAACCTTTAAGTCAATGAAGTGAATTTTTTTGTTGGCTCATGTTCCTTGGTTTCCAATCCCTCTTCTCCTTTCACCTCCAGCCATCCCATGCCACCTGTGATTTGGTACATACCACAAACAGCGGGATTTTGGGGTGAGTTTTCCACATCAGGACAGAAGTGGAACAACTCTACTAAAAGGGATGTAAATGCAGGAGTGAGCAAATCCCTCTTTTTTCCCATCCACAACTTACAAGTCATCTTTGCTGTTGCTGTATCATCAGGGTTAGCTGCAGCACCACTGAAACAAGCTGCTTCAGAGTATTCCTGCTTCCCAGTACACAGCATCCCTGATGAGCCACTTTCCCAGTTCCCTTGGTGTGCTGAACTTGTTCTGTTCTTAAGAAATGCTTTGCATACAGAAAGGTATTTGGTAGTTTTCCACAAGTACTGGGATTCACGTGTCTGCTGTGGCTGCTGAGACGCTGTTTGGATTGTAATTGAGTGGGCACAAATACATGGGAAGAGAAGCAGATTTTTTTTTTTCAGAAGCTTCACAGCAGAATGTCCTCACCCCATTGCTTTGCCGGTGTTTGATTCTCTGCCCACCTTTTGCTCTGTCAGTTTATTGATCTGTTTCCTTAGCCTTGACTTTTTACCCCCACAAAACAAATCAGGAATGTGTATAAAGCTCGCTGGATTGTTCCAGCCTTGTTTATGTAACTCACTGCAGCTCATTGACTGTGTTCCCGTGCAAACTGGTGGGCTCACCTCTAGAGCAGGATTAGTAATTTCAGGGTTGAACTTCTTATGACAAACTGTTCCATCTTCTAAAGAAAAGGCAGGAGCGTCATCACACAGAGCATTTAAAGCTGACATGCCTGTTGTGCTGAGGAATATTCCCTTGGGAAGGGTCCTGCAGAAGTACACGGATGCAGTTGCAGGGACTCGGTTGCTGCTCTGGTTCCGGGCTACTGCTGAATACAAATTCTTCTGAGATAATCACCCCATGGAATGAGCTGATTTGCATCTGACATTAATCTGCCCTGGAGACATCCTGAAAGTCTCATCCCTGCTCATTCAGGTGTCATATTTTACTCTTGGATGGCTTAAGGTAGGATTATGCTCTGAAACTGCTCTGATCCATTTAATTGCCATGTTATTTTAAAACAAGTTTTAAAAGGTGTGACCTCTGCTTAATGCCCTTTTTAAAAAAGAGAACAAACACCAAAACCCAACAAATTAACTCAACAATTCTAGTTTTTGTTAATGCAATTCATAGTTCACTCTAAAACTGACAGAAAGGGGGATAAATATGTATATGGTCGAATTCTTCTTAATAATAGTTATGGCAACAGCAATAATAATTTATTTTAAAACACATTGGGGATATTGAAGCCCAAGAGTTCCTTACTGAACATACAGCATTAAACATCTACCACATCTGTTTGTAGGTTTGTCCATCCAGTGTTGAGGCATTTCCCAAGAAACCTCAGCCACAGTGGCTTTTGCACCCCATTAGAGATGGCTGGGTCACGATTGCTCAGGAGCTGCAAATGGAAGGATAATTATAGTCTGTTATCTATGATTTGTTGGTTTGCTAAATGGAGCTGAGGGTTAGGGCAGGAAGAGCTGTTTTAATCTGTGTGGTGGGTTAATAGCCCAGATTTTTTATTTTTATTCATTTGTTCCTCAGAACGAGGCACGTTTTGATTCTTTCTCTCACTGCAAGCGAGAGTATATTATCCCATCTGATTCTGTGAAGATTATTTAGGAAAAACTCTTTATTGAAGGGAAACCTGACTGGATGAAGCTTTTAATTACTGGGCAGTAGGTGTATCATCAGGTCCATCTTTGAGTAGTGGAGGGGTAAAAATTTCCTCTTTCTCAAGGTGAAAACTTGGCCCTCAATGGTCCTTGGCAAAACTATTGTTCACTTCAGGAGGAGGAAGGCTTTCTCACTCAGGAGTGTTTGGCTGCCTGGATAATGTTCATCTACTCTCACTTGGGCATCTGAAAACTAAATGGTCACATCCAAACCAATCCCCCTAATTCCCTATATTGGAAGAGAGGAGGGGGGTTCATCCCAGCCTGAAGTGGGTCAGATGAGTCACCCCATGGATGTTCTTGCAGCAGCTGACTCAGAGACACATCCACAGCCAGTGAGGTGGATCCTTCCATGGTGTCTCAGAGGCATCTCCATGGAGTGGGATTCCTCTCTTGCTCCCATCTTTGCTCAGAGGGGAAGGCTGGTAATATTTTGCCAGCTCATGGGAATAGCAAACTGTGATAGGTGGTGAGTTTTGTGAAAAGCTCAAGATCTCTGTGGTGGACCCCACATCTTCCTCACCCACATCTTCCCTTTACTCAATGAAGGGCAGACTCAGCTGCTGGAGAATTCGTGCCACATGTCCCAGGCAACCTCCTATCTAGTTGTCTTTTTTTTTTTTTTAAATGATTCATTGATTTTTTTAAA